ATGAGACTTTGCAGGGGAGCCATTTCCCACTAGACAAACTCTGCCACTATGACTCTACAGCTGATTGTCTGATTACTGATATCTCGCACTTACAAAACGCTTGCTCAGCTCTACATGTTATGAGATGTTATACGTATCAATGACGAGCGGTGAGACTCATTTCACCACTCGTCTAGCCCGAAAAGATGGGGGATACGAAGTAAGTCTCAGTATTGTAACCTAGGTACTCGAAACACCCCGCCCTTCTCTGAAGGTGGGACGGTTCCGATCAGTGGGTTCATCTCCTATCCAGTTCACTCGGCCAACATCGATGCTAGAGATGTCCTTCGAAGGCACATTCCACGATGATCGGATGGGCGGAGGTTCACAACAAAGTGCCTTGCTCTGCGCTCCTTCGCTCAGGAGAACACCCCACTGAGGAAGGCGCAAAAGGAGCCCCTGCCCATCTGACTATCGTGGAATGCATCTTTGAGGCCCAGTACTGCCGAAAATTCAAGGGCATCGTCTTCCGTGAACCCGTTTGGACGCGTTTTACCCACACTCCCAGGGAACTGTGCGGTGGACGAGTTGTCTCAGCGGTTTCAAATTTGAACCGAAATTAAGAGCCTATGAAGGAGCGATAAACGTTTGAGAACCGAGCGAATAGCACAGTGAACCCGTTCCGAGTTCTGTTAGTTACGACGCCCCGAAAACTGGGAATGTGACTAGGAAAGTATGGCATGCCGCGCTAGGCGTACAAGCGATGCCGTGCACGTGAGGGACGAGTTGTCCTTCACGGTCGTTCACAAGTTTGATTGTTGAAGGAAAAGGGAAGATTGACACCATTCGTCATCGTCTTTTTGCTCTGCCCTAACTCCCTGATTAAAGTCAGATGAGTTCGTACAAAATCCAGTCACGCGTGCGGACTGGTGCGCCATCGGTGCGCCGCAACGTCATCCAACCTACGTTCCTCCTTGTATCCAACCCCCTCAGCTACCTAAAAGAACGTACTGTTTGGAGTACTTGGCCTGAAATGGCTTGCTTGATTGATTTACTGATTTGCAGCAAACGGAATACCTCCGCTACGACTGGTATCTAGGAAGCTGTAACGTAAGTTTTTGACCGCTCAAACTCGCGGATATAAATCACGCACGCAGAGTCGATACTTCATTTTAAAGGACAAACGTGATTAAGGCGGTTTGATTTGCGAAGAAGGACGTTACAGCCTGTCTGTCTTTTCAAACACACGCGACGGAGCGTTCAGACTTCGCGGTGGCGCGCACTGATGCGTATTGTGCTAAATGTGCTACATTGCGCTCCAATATTATAGACCTGTATCGATCGGCGCCGCAGGGTACGCTTCACCTGATCATCATCAGTCTGGTACCCTCCTATTTTTCAATGCTCTCTCAAAGCAGCAGCGGCCCGGGCCGATCGATACCCATCCATAATACTGGCGCGCATTTAGAACTGTAGGGCTCGCAAAGTCTGAGCTGTATAATGGGTATATACCCAACATTAGTGCGCGCTCGAAGGTTAGAAGGTGCAGACAAGCAGACATGACGCGTCATAGTCGCGTTACCGCATGGCGCTACCCCAACTGCCTTGGCTCACGATGTAGCCCAAGTCTGAGGTACTGTATTTCAGTAAAAAAAGCGAATCATCTCGGCAACGTTTCGCCAGCGGTGGCAGTGTGGCTGTATTTCTTACAATAGCAATGCTCACACTTTTGAATGGCTCATGCAAGTCGTTATTTATCGCGTCTATAGAGGACGGTAGGTAATCAATACATCGATTTTTGCAATTTCATACTAATCGGTTGCTGACTACCCTTTTAGAAACACATCTCCTCAAGTTCGAAGCCGGCTTGGAAATCATCGTCTTAATAAGCGTCTTCATCTTGAAAATACTTAGTGTAACCTACTCCAAAAATACTCTTAGAATAGCCTGCCTTCTTGTGATGGTAAGGTCTAGAACCCACGCATCCGTACTTAAGTGGGCGTGGTGTCCAACGAATGGGCGTGGTCCGCGCCACTAATGGAGTTTATTGCAGGTGGTTTATCTTATCATTAGCTGCGTGGCGTTTGGGATTTGTTATGTTGTCGATTGTACGTCTTTGACAGTCATCACTACAAATTTGAAGGCACATTCCTCAATGATCGGATGACTGAAGAAATAGGCGGAGACTTACAATCATTGCGCTTTCCTAGTTTGCGTCACTCCCTTCAATGCGGTGCAGAGGCAAGGGGCGCCTAATGAGGAAAGCACAATAATCGCGAGTCCCTGCCCATCCGGCCATCGTGGAATGTACCTCTGACAACGGTTTTCAAAACTGTTTTCAGATGAAATTTCAAAAGGCACCCAAGTGGGAGGGATTTTTGGCGCTTTCATGGATATCGTCGCCTATCTATTATACTTACGGATAAAACAAGTGAAAACGGAATAATCGATTAATAGAAATGGATTCGATACCACATACAATACATCCAAAAAACCAGAACTTAATAAAGTTAATTTTGTGGTCAACACAGTTTTTCCAGTGTCTGCTATCAAACGCTGAACTGATCGATCGAAATAAATCATAACATTCAGGCGGCTTCGAGATTAAAAAAACTAAAGTGGGCGTGGTTCCTCGCAAAGGGGGGGTGGCCTTGTGCGGCTTTTTGGAGGAAATCGTATCTGTTCGATGCAATCCTAGCAGCAGACACTCGTGAAGACCAAAGCTGAATCTTCCTGCCGACCAGATCAGTTTAGGCAGCGTTCACGACTTCGCCGACGGGCGCGCGTTTGAAGCGATTCGGTGCAAGTCGAAAGCAATACGCATCGATGCCTTCGAACGCGCGAAACGAGAGGTGCCTCGCAAAGATATGCCACACGCTGCCTTACTGCTTCCCCATGTCCGTTTTATATATTTCAAAACGCGACTGGATTGGATGCAGTTCAGGAGGCCCGAGTTGCGGTAACACAGCGAAGGGGCATTAAAAGTGAGGTCGCTACGCGACATTCGCACCAGGAGCTGGTTTGACGCGAAAGTGCTACAGAAAGCAGAGCCAACTAGCTAGTAAGGTCCACACGCACTAAGTTATTTACAGCGGGTCGTAGCCACAGTACAGTATCCGGGGAAACAGCGGTATCAACCCCACCACCCCACCCCCCCCCCCTGAACCGAGACAAATCCTCGAGGCTCCGAAAAATTTCTCTTGAAGCCGTCGACTGATCAAAGATGACCCCTTAACGACCAAATACGACCCCTGATGAGGGTCTTCCAACAACGGTGTACACTGGCCGGAAGACCTCAGGCCTCGACCCGAAGGAACCGGGCTGCCTTGGGTACCCCATACTTCAACATTTGTCGTGAAAAACGTCGCATTTTCAAAAACCTGCTCATGAAGAGCTCGAACGAACCCTTCAAACATAGTTTGGGACACAACTCAACTGGACAGTGCTTAATAATTTTCGTGGTGGCCGGTAATAGGTGTAGGATAAGCTGGATGTCGAAATTTTCAGAAAAAAAATCATAAAACCATCAAGAATGGGCGGAGCTTGCCATTAGGGATGGGGAGTTTGTATGCAATAAGTGGAATGCAAGATGTTAAGCATTCCATAGGGGTTTCTTTGGTTTCTTTTTCAACATTTTAAACAAGGAGTTCTGCAAAGAAACAAAGATGTCTAAAAAGGGGGTGGCAGAAGGGTGAAGCTTAGCGTAAGTAATCTAAAAATTGCATTCTATATGTAAATCATATCTGCAAAGTCCATTGAAAAAGGATGTTGGCGATTGATAAGCTTATAATACGGCAGAATTCCCAATAAAGCTTCCAATAGGTGGGCGTAGTCGTCGGGGGCGGAGTCAAGTGTGTCACTATCAACATCCAATGTATACAGGTAATACAGTGAAATTGTGAAAAACTAGTGTAAATAGGATTCATTCAGATTGATGCGTGTAATGTGTGTATAAGGCTCGCGGCAAAAAGGGGGCGTGGCCACCTGGGGCGGAGCTCACAATGAGGCCTACTGTGTGCAGGGGTAGTGCAGTGGGCGCTCCGTCCAAGAATGCAAAAATCGCTTTGCAAAAGAATTTAGGTGCATAAAACCACCATAAGAATTGAATATCGATCGAAAGATATCGATTACTTGTCAAATCAAGTACTTGCGCTTTTATGATAAAACACCCAACACCCAAGGAACAACACCACAAGAGAACGAATCTTTATACGGAAATCGATAATGCACAAAATCGACGAAATGAGCGAAAATATGACAGGACTATCGATTACCCTATCGATTACTTTTGATGATATGCAACCTTTACAATATATTCAATCAATAACTCTCCTCCTCTTCGAAGTACGTAACACTCATTGGACATAGGCGAGCAAAGTGATCATCGCCCTGAATCGAATACGAAAAGTCGTCAATGAGCTAACGACAAAACGAAGCGGATCTCACGAACTCCGCCCAACGCGCAGTGGCAGAGACGCAGACACATTTGCTCTGGGTGTCTGTGCTCTGACTGGGGCGGATTCCGATGAAATGACAATCAAACGGCTGATAAAGTGATAAGGTCCACAGCAACGAACTGAACTTAGAAAAGTGACACTTGACTACTTAACTGAACCATTCCGCATTGAGCAACACAATCACGAGCGAAACAAAAGAGAAAAAGAAATCGATCGAACTCTTCTTGTTAAGTGACGACTTTATGACGACAATACACACTTATATGAATGAGAAAATAAACTTAATAGCATAGTAATGAGCTTCAAACACATAACTAATCGATTCGTGTGTTAGCAACAATTACTTTCACTACTGATATACTCTGGATCCAATCATTCAGCTAAATTCTGACTTTGACGGTATTAAGTCGCAAGTGCGCCCCAATGCTAAAGTCTGCGCCAGTGACAACAGCTATTATACCACCACTGGGTTCGATAAAAGCACATTCTGTGTTGATCGCATGGGCGGACACACCTGGATTAGTGCGCCCTTCTCTTAGGTAGGCTTCTCATGTAAAATGGAGAAGCGCACTAATAAGGAAGGCGAAAGGGGCTGGAGCACTCCGCCCTCATCACCAACGCGGAATGTGCATTTAGAAGGGGTGACTCTATGGGTGTTCACAAGGTACAATGGTAGCTGTGTTGCTCTCAGGCGGTACTATAGACAACATGCACGACCTATGGGACACGTTGGGGTACTAGGCGTCAGGGTAACGACCAGTCTTGTTCTCTATGGACGCTGGGGCGTTTCAAGAGAGCTGAGTTTGGCGTGCGTCAGCCTGTTCTCCA